TTTGTTTTTCCTTTAGGAGAATGATGCATTAACCTCCACGCCATAACATCCGCTCGTTTGCTTCTACTTCTTGTAAACTACTATTAAGTCTTTGAAGCCACAAAAGGGAAGAGAAAATTTAAAAAGAAGGTACTTGAAGCATCCTTAAATTAAATTCATAGACAATATGATTATGTTGAAGTGAGAGAAGCTATTTCACTTGATATTAAATTTAATTAGGAAAATTATTTAATATTTATGCAAACATAAAAAGAAGAAGAAATATTTAAAAACGTACTCACAGCAGAAATAAATTATACCAAATTGATATATACGTGACATGTAATTACCTGTTGAACCAAGAGCTGTTGACATTTGTCTACAGCAATGTAATAAGTTAGTAGTTAGGAGTTAAAGCACTATAGAGTTAGGCGGTTAAGTAGTATAAATGTACAGTACCGTTCCATTTTTCTGTTAAGCAGATATACAGTAACAAGAGCACAATTGCTCCTTTGCTTTCCTCTGCTTCTTCTCAGCTTTCATCGCCATAGCTAGGAGTAGAATCTAGAGTTCATCATGGTATCAGAGCTCGAGTTAACGATCTATATCACTCAATTTCAACTCTAGATTCATCATCCTCAATTTTTGTGATGACCCAAAAATGTTATCTTTAAATTTAATAAGTAATTCTGTGTTCTAAGACCTCGAAAAGTACTGTTTATCATTCCTTGACTTGCGTGCGCAGTCCGTATAATTTTCGGAAAAGTTTTTGTATGAAAAATGGATTAAAATGTAAAATAAAGCTTTAAAACTCAACTGAGTAGACTTTGGTCAACATTTTGAGCAAACGGACTCGGATCAGTATTTTGATAGTTCCGTTAGGTCCGTATCATGATTTGGGACTTGGGCGTATGCCCGAAATCGAATTCCGAGGTCCCTAGCCCGAGATATGAAATTTTGATGAAAAATTAAAAGTTTGAAAGCTTAATGATTTTTAAGAATTTATTGATATTGAATTTATTGACACCGGGTCTGTATTTTAGTTCCCGGAGTCCGGTATAGGTCCACTATAATAATCGGAGTTGATTTGACGTGATTTAGACGTCCGGTTGTAAAAATATAAGTTTTGAAGTTTTCTTGAAAATTCCCTTTGATTTGTTGTTCGATTTGTAGTTTTAGGTATTTGTTTGGGCGATTTGATCGCGCGAGCAAGTTTGTATGATATTTTAGTACTTGGGTGCATGTTTGGTTGGGAGCCCCGAGGACTCGGGTCGATTTCAGGTGGTTAACGGATCATATTTGGACTTGAGAAAACTGCAGAAACCTGCTTCTGGTTTCCTTCTTCGCGTTCGCGAGGGGAGTCTCGCGTTCGCGAAGAGAAAATTTGGACTGACACAAATTGTGCTTCGCGTTCGCGACTAAGGGCACGCATTCGCAAAGGGTCGAGATGCAAAGCTTCGCGTTCACGATCGAAATCTCGCGTTCGCGATCGAAACCTCGCTTTCGTGAAGGGGAAATGACCGGAGAGGATTATTATTATGATAGTTATTGGTTTAATTTGAGATTTTATTATTATTTCTGTTAATTCTTCATGTATGTTAGGCTTACCTAGTCTTAGAGGTTAGGTGCCATCACGACATCCTACGGAGGGAGATTGAGGTCGTGAAAATAATAAATTAATGTGGAGAATTTGAAAAATATAAATTTATTGTAAGGTTATTTTTGTCTTGAATAAATTAATTTTTTGCTTCTGTTTCTGCTTCTTAGAAGAAGCTAGAATTTGCAGCTTCTCCCCCAAAGCAATAAAACTGCTTCTACTGCTGCTCAAAAGTACATTTTTATTTTAGCCAAACACCTTAAATTTTTCAAAAATTACTTTTTCCACAAAAAAAGATACTTTTGGCCTCTCAGACGTTTGGCCAAACAGGCTCTATATTAGTTCCAACATCTTAAGTAGCAAACCACTCGGTATTCCGGCGATCTTCAGTAGGAAGCCACTAGGTATTGAATATCTTTCCTCTCGTATGATTTAGATTTTTCTTGTTGGATACTAATCCTCTATTAAGATCTATTCTTAAGTCCCAACTTGATTAGTATCTTTTCACTCGTATGATTTAGATTTCTCTTTTCTTTGCTTTATTTGTTTTACGCTACCATAGAATAGTGGGATGAATATCTATTCTAGACATCTTTCATATTTCTTTAATCATCACTTTTAAAATAATAAAAATTTGTGGAGAGTTTTGCCAAAGGCTTATGGAAGTACACATTTATCGCATTTAACTTCGACCGGCAACTCTTGCATGACGTTTTAAAAAAAATACTGAAAAACAAATCGAACTATACCGCTATCGAAAAAAAATTGAGATGATTTCAAAAAGTCTAGTTTTGATTATACAAAATGGAATAACCGAAAAATTTATATAATACAAATATTATAAAATAACCGATCGAACCGAACCATTGACACCCCTGAGCCTAGGCATAGAATCGAATGATTCAGGGCTCGAATCGTCTCACTTGTATTTTTGCTCAACTTGGCTTAGCTCATTTCAGAAACAGTCTAGGCAATCGACAAATTTCCGTCATCTCGACTCATCTCACTCAAAGTTCGACAAACCTTGGCTCGGTCAAAAATCATGTTCCATTATGCTGAACTCTTTGCTCAGTTTAATTTGGTTGTAATCCGTAATTTTATTTAAAATTAAATTCATTCCTTATGTTTGATATGTTAATTCAATTTTAAAAATAGAGAGATCAGAAACAAGAAAAGTGAAAAAAAAGGAAAGGATGATAGAGCTGTTTTCGAAAAGCTACGAATAATTTACAAGAAGTGTTCAATTTGTGAAGACTTCTGTTATCCAAACAAGGGTGGAGTGCTGGCCTACTAGTAGGCGGTGGATATAGTCCCAGTGATGGCGAATTTAATCGAACTTAATATTTTGAACTTAAATATATGTGTAAAAAGTTATATACAGGAAAAATTATTGAATTTTTATTAAGTATTAAATTTAGATTCATAATTTAGAAAGTACAATACATCTTGTTGGAATCGAAAATAATAAGGCGTCATGCGAAAGCTAACAAAGTAAAGTTTGGCGACGATAAAGAAAACGATAAAAAAAAGTATACTTAAAAAGGCATAACATTCTAATATAGTTTGGTCAACTGACCTACGTATGATGAAACTAATATATAAAAAAATATAAAATATTGAGAAAAAATCTCCCCCTAAAAAAACTCTCGTAAGGACCATTGTAGATCCTATATTGTTTTTATGTGATGGAGAGATCCTCAATTTATAGAGGTCACAATATTTTTCTCCAAGAAAGATATATGTCAAATAAGGAAGAGATACATATATTTTTTAAGGAAAAGTAAAACAATTATGATCAATATTTTATCCTTCTTTCATGTAAAAGAATAAATCCAAATAAAGTAAAAAATCACGATAAATTCCTAATAATTTTCCCCTTTGGCCTCAATTTGTTTGACAATGCTTGATCCGCCTTCTTCACATATTCTTCGTCACTACTATTTGAGATAGTTAAAAATAGGCATGGGTTAAAAATTAGAGCCCCGTGCGTTAAAGGTGAGCACGGATTAAAAATATTGGAGCCTTGCATTGAAAGCGAGCAGAGTTATAAGTAGAGCTCATGCGTTACAAGTAAGCATGAGTTAAAAGTGGAACCTTGCGTTAAAAGTTAGCAAGGTTGAAAGTGGAGCCCATGCATTAAAAGTAAACATGAGTTAAAAGTTAGAGCTCAATTATGCGTTAAAAATAGTTTTTGTTTTTAATATGCAGCAGCATGAATTTTCAAAGTATGATTGAAATTTGCCTTCACATGTAGTACTCTTAACATTTTTTTATAAGAATCTTCATTATCGTCAAATTGGCTATAACTTGATCTAAACCCGCCTTAAATCTATCTTCGACCTCACTCTGAACCATTGCCTTTGATATAACTTATTTGGATCGAAAATAAAAAGGCGTCATGCGTAAACTAATAAAGTAAGCTTTGGCGACGATAAAGTAGACGACAAAGAGAAGTATATTAAAAGAGGCATAACATTCTAATGTGGTTTGGTCACTTGACCTATATATGAGAAAACTAATGTATAAAGAAGATATAAAATTATTGAGAAAAGATCTCCCCCTAAATGAAACTCTCTTAATGACTATGTTGTGGATTCTATATTATTTATCTATGAAGGAAGATTTTTAATTTATAGAGGTCATAACTTTTTTCTCCAAGAAAAGAATCTGTCAAATATGAAATATATTTTTCTATAAGGAAAAATAAATCAATTATAATTAATATTCTACTATTCCTTCAGCTAAAAGAAAAAAACTAATTAAGGTAAGAAAATAGGACAAATTTCTAAAACTTTAACTTAAATTTATCAAATTAAATATTGCGCCCGGCTCAAAGTGTGTGAGAACACTCACCAACAATAACAACAACAACCCACTAAAATTTCACTAATGGGGTTTGGGGAGGGTAGTGTGTACGCAGACCTTATCCTTACCCCGAAGGAGTAGAGAGGCTGTTTTCGAAAGACCCTCGGCTCAAAAAAAATAAAAAGACAAAAGGGGCAAAAAGGGAGACAATATTAGTATCACAACAACAACCATAAGATAAATAGGAACACCATAAAATCCAGAAGAAAGATGCGGAAGACAATATTAGTAAATATTAGTATCACCACAACAATCATAAGAAAAATAGGAACCTCGTGAAATCTAGAAAAAAGATGTAAAGCAAAAGCGATAGCTAATAAATAGGACCTGCACTAAAAAGAGAAATAGTAAGCCACAACATTCCCACTAGTTATCTTAGAAAAAAAACCCTACATAATTAATCCCACCATGTTACAAAGTAAGACACGACTCAACTACCTCGTAACACAAACTTCAGAATTCCAACGGCTGCCACCTATACAAGCAAGCAACACCCCGTATGTCTGCATCAACTATATATATCAGACACTTGTCTTGGGAATCCCACGTAACACAACGAAAAAGAGTAAAAGTAACCCCAACTTCACATTATTCCTTAAATAAGGCTTTAAATCTTCTACTTCTTCTTATAAGTGGATTTGGAATTCAATTCTTTCTTAATTATCTGTTGATCACTTTTAACAAGATTTCATGGCTTCTTCCTCCAGCAGTATTGATGAAGAGGGTATGCCATTCTTTTCTCTTATTTCTTCTTCTCGTGTTTGTAGCTTCTGTTTGAGTGACTGACTTCAAGAAATCATGATTCTTGGAATTGGACATGCAGGAATTGAGAAGCAAGAGGTAACCCCTTTGGAAAAGCATGTTATGTTCTTTGATATTAACAAAGATGGTGTGATTTACCCATGGGAAACTTATAAAGGTCTAGTTTCTCTTTCTTCTTTCCTTTTTCTGTTCTTTTTCCCACATAAAGTGTTTTCACTTATATTTCTGCTTTGAGGTTTGTCAGTAGTTATTTAACTGTTATTTCTTATTTTTTCCTTTTGGTTTTTGTATATACCAGGCTTCAGGAAAATTGGAAGTGGCGTTCTCCTCTCAACCGTTGCTTCAATTTTCATTAATATTGGTCTAAGTGGCAAAACTCGACCTGTAATTCACTCTTTCCCCCTCTATGATTTTGTTTCGAGAATAATTCTTCAAAATTGACTAATAGCGTGTTTGGCGAAGCTTCTCTAGGCTATTGCCCTTCTTTTTTTTTCACAAAAAATATATTTTTCTTCAAAATTGATGTGTTTGTTCAAACTTTTTAGTAGAAAAAAGTACTTCTAAGTAGAAGCAAAACAGTTTCGAAAAAGCAGAAAAAACGTATAATTCTTTTCCGAAACACTTTTAAAAAAAACATTTTTCAGAAAAAATATATTTAGAAATACATATTAGAGGGGTAAGTTGATTGTTAAAACAACTCGATTGTCATATATGTCTCTTAGGATCATACTGTTTTCCAATAATGATGATGAGCTGCAAAAGGCAAATATTGACAAAAATCGTTATGATGATTTAAATTATTTACTATGCAAAACTTATCTATGTGCAAATTGGTTGACGCATCACGCGTGAGGAACTTTGGTCAAAATTTTAGTCCATCCTTGAATTTAATATAGGATTTGTTTACCCGAAAAATCGGATATAGTTGAATTTATAAGTAGTTCTAAGGATATGTGATATAGCTTGACATAAATCGTACGTGGAAGTGGAGATATTTAGATTCTTGGCTATAGAAATGGGATATAAATTATTGAACTAGAAGAGTGAGTATGCAGAGTAAAACAAGTTTAAGAGATTTATTCTTCAATAAATAGAAGTATTCTTTTCTTACAATGTGTCAACCTGCTTGTGCTTGCAAGGATTTCCCCCTTTATAGTAGAGAGATCTTACTTTATTTATAATAAAAAATATATAGTGGACAACCCATGATGAATTGTCTCTTCCTCGATTCCTGCCAAGATTCTCTCCCCTAGTGCGGTTGTAACGGCTCCTATCTGCGAGCTCGACACTGGCTCGAGCTCGGTATTGGGTCGAGCCCTCNTATATAGTGGAGAACCCATGATGAATTGTCTCTTTCTCGATTCCTGCCAAGATTCTCTCCCCTAGTGCGGTTGCAACGACTCCTGTTTGCGAGCTCGGTATTGGGTCGAGCCCTCGGTCTTGAGTTCGAGTTCGACATTCGGGTGAGTGTCAATCGGTCTGTGCATCGCCGACAACCTTCTCTTTGCCTTGCGGTTCAATTTGGCCATGGGCTTGATAATGATATCGAGCCGATTCCTCGATCGGTCTTGGAGCTCGAGGCTTGTTTTTACTATCCTCGGAACTTGTCTCGAGCTCTCACTTCGATCGCTTACCATTCAAACTCGATCAAACGTACGGAGGCCGAAATCTATTTCGACCGGATACAGATAGTCCCCTCGTTTCTCAGGAAGAATGTGGTGAGAAGCGACATGATTTTCGATGGCTCGATCGGATGACGTTTTCACTAGGATCGATCGTGACGTATGTGATAGTTGTCCCGTTGATTTAGTCTTTCAAGGTATTTAATGCGCATCAGACGGTGGTCGGCCACCGCTGACACTGAACCGCCACGGTATAAACCTATAAATAGCCATTCCATTTATCATTTACCACTTTTACATCTTTAATCTCCCAAATTTTCTTACTCTTTCTGCCTCTATTTCGCCGCTTGTAGAGCCACCTTCATCAGCGTGTGGCACCATCAACCTTTCATCTTCCCTCGCGTTTCTTTCTCTTATATCAATGGCAAAAACTTCAAAAACCGTACCTCAAAAGGAGAAAGCTTCCTCTTCACGGCCGTCCGGCGACAAGGCGCCGGTGGAGCCGCCTCCCCATGAGTATGTTCCTGGCCTGTGTACTCTGAAGATCGATTTTAAGGTTGAAAATCCTTCGTCGGTTCCGGGTCGATGTGAGCATGTGTCGATGTACATGTGCTTGATAACAGAGGGCCATCTCGAGGCCATGAGGAAAGACTACAACTAGGGTCCCGAGGTTGTGTTGCAAATTCCCTCTTCCGAAGAGAGCGTCATCACTCATGTGGAGGGGTTTTTAAGTGTTTATACTTACTCCTTCACGTTGGGTCCCGTCGACCCAGTGATCATTGATTTTTGCAAAAGATATCAGGTCACCCTCGGTCAAATTCATCCTTCTCTATGGCGCATAGTAACCTTACTTTGCTTTTTCTCCAACAAGACCGGGGGGCTGGATTTCACCCTAAATCACCTCATACGATTGTATCTACCTCAAATCTTTTGAGGACTAATCAGGCTTCATCGTCGGGCATCGAAAGCTTTAATGTCGAGCATCGACGAAGACAAAGATCGGGGTTGGATGGGCCGTTATATTTGGGTGAGGACCCGTAACCTCATTCCGGAAGAGAAGATGTCGTTCCCCGAGGAATGGAATTTCGACCGTAAGTGGTTTTCGTAAGGCGTTGTTTTACATATCTTTTTCTGATTCTATCTGATATCTTTCTCCGATATACAGCTACCCCCTGGATGCCATAAGCGGTACCCGACCTCGAGGATTGGGTTCGGAAGTTGGCCTCGACTTCCTCTTATGCTGAACGCGCTTGGCGTGATTTGGCAAAAGGTAGATGGCAGGCCAAGAATCACGGTAAGGGTCACTTCTCGTGTTCTTCAAAATGTTTTTTATGCTCCATCCGTTACCGATTTCCTTTCGTGCAGGTGTAACCAAGGATGTCGTTTTGAGGCCTTCGAGTGGTGAGGAAGGAACCAAGTCCCCGGTCCCGGAACCGGGGAAAGATAAGAAGCGAAAAGCTGTCTCTCGGTCAGAGGATACCAAGCCCAAAACTCGGAGGGTGAGGAGGAAGGAAATCGCTCTTTCGACGGACTCGGTCCAACGACTGAGAGAAGAAGAATAAGAAGAATAAGAAGATGATGCCTCGGCTTTGGTGATCCGATCTGCGAAAGCTATCGAGGTTGCCAGACCTTCTGAGCCGATGACGGCTATATCGGTCGGGGTCGGTTACGATACCCCAAGTCTCGATCAGAGCCTTCCGAGCGATTCGCTTGGGACTATGATAGTGGGTCATTTGCCTTCTATTCCAAACTTTTCTGAGGAGGCGTTAAAGGAAGCTCGAGAATTGAAGACCCCCGATATGGGAGGAGGCTCTAGTGTAGGGGACCCTTTTCGGGATTGCTTTGCTGGAGTCGATGATGCCTCCGATATTAGTGACGCTTCTTTTCTCCTAGAAGAGGCCCAACATTTCATTTCTCGGGTAAAGATTTTATTGTGCTTGGTTTCTCNGCGTGGGGGACATATGCCTCGAACCCCACCACGCGTGGGCTCATTTTTCTGGGCAAAACCTAGTACAAAACACGGACAAAAGCAAAAAGGAACGGACAGACCTTGGAGGACCTTTAAAATTTTTTAAACAGGGGGATGACTGTTCACGCTTCTTCTTCATAAAAGAAGAAGAAGCAAAACCCTACTGAAAAA